GCCGCCGGGCCCTGCGCGACCCGGGAGTGCCGCGAGGCCCTGCCCGCGGGCTCCTGGTGTCCGCGGGGCGGCGCCGCGGAACATGACGGCGCCCTGGGCGGCCCTCGCCCTCCTCTGGGGATCGCTGTGCGCTGGTAAGGACGGGGTGCAGCGTGGGGGGCGAGGGGAGGGCGCGTGGGACCGGCCTCTGGAGCCGCGCGGTGTTTACCAACAAAGGGCGGGCCCGCGGCCTCGTAGCCGCGCCACCTGCACCAAACTCGCACCTCCCGGGGCGGGGACTGGGGCAGTGCTGGGCGTCCCTGGTTGCTGAGCTTAGGGGGACGATTTTGTCTTTGCGGTCGTCGGCGGGGTTCCAGTTCGCGGAGGCACCCCTACCTACGATCGGGGCCGGGACCCAGAGCCTCAGGGTCCGGGTTCAGGCTACGCGAGCGCGTGGAACCCAGGGATAGAGTGAGGAAAACCTGAGCTTGAAGAAGGGGCGGGTAGATCTGATCGCGGGGGGCGGCCGTATTGTAGGTGCAGTAGTGGCCTGGGGGAGGGCTGCGCGTCCCTCAGAGCCACTAGGTGTAGGGAAGCGCAGGGGGCGGCTTCTCACAGCCCGGAGGAGTCCCCTGCACTCCATCCCATCAATGTGCGTCTCGTTCCTCGCACAGCGGGCCCTGGGCTCTGGCTCCCACCTGCTCCCGCTTTCCCTGCGGTGGGCCTCGGGATGCCGTGTGCGTTCACCTCGCAGGACCGCTTTGTTTTGGGCACCTGGAAGGGGAAGGGGGGTAAGAACGAAAACCAACAGGTCCTTGTTCGCTAGTGCCTCTGGGAGGCATGTGGTGGGGGTGCCGTATTTAGCTCGCCGGCGGCCGCGGGCGTGTGGTTTGGGGGTGTCAGACTTTCACGCGTGTGGTTGGGAGTGTGTGGGTGCGGGTGTGGGTCTGTACACGCGGAGTTAGCCGGGAAAACGCTTTCCCACCAAGGTCGAAGCAGATTTCCCTCTCTCAGTGGTGCCGGGGCGCACGCCGGACGCGCTCCGGACAGTCCTGGGAAGCGTGGGGAGCCGGCCATTGAAGCTCAGGCAAGAAGGTTAGGGCGGCTGGTGCCCGGCAGCCCGGGCGCTGAGTCCTACACGTCTTTGTTCCCAGCCCCCATTACATATGCAGCGCGGGTCCCCCGCCGCCCACAGTGGCAGCAGCGCGAAGTCTGGGAAACCCGCGAGGGGCGGAGCCGGGCGTCCGGGGGTGGGGCGGGGATCCCTACGCTGCTGTGGGGGTGGGGATCGGGGATCTCCATCCCTTCCGCACCCCCGTTCTACCCACTCTCCTTTGCAAGGTAGTGAGGCTTAACAGTTTACACCAAAAGCGAGTGAATTCTTTGGGGCCGGGGGCTGCATTGCCTGGGTGCAGGGACCAGAGGGCAGAGACTACCTCATTGGTACCTGGGCATCCTGTGGGAAGGGGTGTCATGGCTCTCTAAGTGCGGTTCCCTTTGTGGTGAAAGCAAGGTGGTGGCCGTGTTGAACTTTTTGTTCCTCTTTCTGCCTCACTTACTGTAAGTGCTGCTTTTGAGACGCGAAGGAGGGAAGGCATTGGCATGCCAAAGGGAGGGCAGTAGCAAGCCGACCTGGCTGTCTCTACCTCCTGGGCGCCTGATCCCTGGACGTATGAGCTCTTCCAAGTCAGGACAGCCTCAGACCTGAGATCTGGGACCACAGCTATCCCCAGTTTGTCTCAGCCTAGCCTCACCAGTCTCACCTCACTCATTAGGCAAGGCAGGGTAGGATTGGTCTCCTGGAAGGACTGTATTTCCCTCCTCTTTTCTCTGCTCCCCTCAACTGGCTTGGGCAGTGCTGAGCAGTGTACCCTGCCAGGGAGCAGCCCGAGTCAGATTCCAAGGACCAGTGTTCCTGCCCTGGAAGGAAGGTGGAGTTAGTGTTTCTTGTGGTCACGGCCAGTCCTCTGGTGGCCACTGTCCTGACCTGTGAGGAAATATGGGAAGAACTGCCCGAGGTTCAGGTTGTGGCACAGCTGGCTGTCCTCTTCCTTTGACTTCAAAGATGCTCTTCCTTCAAACTCCTGGGGCTTGCCGTTTAGAATTCCACCCCCTATACACAATGCCCTAGTAGAAGGAAGATGAAGAATGTTGTTGTGCAATAGAAATAAAGTGTGAACTTTATATATACATTCATAGACGAGGGTGCTTCAGAAAGTTCATGGAAAAATAGGATTATAAGATAATACAAATCCTTTCATGAATTTTTTGAAGTACCCTCGTATAACTTAAAATTTTCTAGTAGTCATGTTAATAAAAGCAAAAAGAAACACGGGCCCGCCCGGTGGCGCACTCGGTTGAGTGCGGCGCTTGGGAGCGCAGTGGCGCTCCCGCCGAGGGTTTGGATCCCATATAGAGACCTGTCCGCTCACTGGCTGAGCGCGGTGCAGGCGCGACACTGAGGGTTGCTATCCTGTTGCTGGTCGCGGTACGGGTGTGACACCGAGGGTTGCGATCCCGTTACCGGTCATGAAAAAAGACAAAAAGAAAAAAAAAAAAAGTAACAGCTTTGTTTTAGTCTGCTTGAGCTGCCATCACAAATTACCAGAGACTGGATGGCTTAAACAGCAGAAATTTATTTTCTTACAGTTCAAGACCAGGGTGCTGGCATGATGGGGTACTGGTAAGGGCTCTCTTCCTGGCTTGCAAACAGCCGCCTTCTCACTGCATCCTCACATAACAGAAAAAGGGAGAGGAAGAGAGATCTTTTCCTCTTCCTCTAATTATGCTAATTACCTCCCAAAGGTGCCATCTCCAAATACTATTACATTGGGGGTTAGGGCTTCAATGTATGCATTTGGGGCAGGGGGAGAACATAAGCATTCTTTTTATAATGAGGTGGAATTAACTTTAATAATGTATTTTGTTTAATAATATACAAAGTAATCATTTCAACATGTAATCAGTATTAAAACAATGAGACATTTTAAATTTTTTTTTTTGTGCTGTCTTCAAAATCCAGTGTGTGTCTTACACTTATAGAACATCTGAGTTTCGACTTTACTCATTTCAAGTGCTCTATAGTCACATTTGCCTAGTAGGTACCATATTAAACAGTGCAGGCTTAGAAGGAGAGGCAGAATTTATGCTGTAATAATGGCACATGGTGCTTGTCACAAGATCAATGGTCAGTTAGTTCTGCAAGTCTTTTGTGGTCTGTGCCTGGCCCAGTGTCCTTGGGAACATTTGGTTCTTCCATTGCATGGACATCTTAGATATTCTGTGTGTCTGTCTCTGTACTTGGGGTTCAGCTCAGAGGGTCTGGGGGGGGCAGGGTGGAGCAGTGTTCTGAGTAGAGTGTCAAGAGCCATTGGGTGGGGAGGGGGACCTGAGTCCTGTTTGTCCCATCAGGAAGTGTAGGCCTTGACTACCCCAAGCTGCCTTCATAGGCTGGCCACTCTGACCCAAAGATATTTCTTGTCCATTTCCCCAGGGGAGGGTTTGTGTGTAAGAGAGTGAGTAAAGTGACCTTCAGCCCTCAGGCCCAGTGTAGTGGTAGCTGCCGAGGACATGGGTTACAGAACCATGGGCCGTGGATGCCCTTTCCCAGGGAAGGGTGTCCTCTGCTACCGTCCGTGTACCTGCTGGGCATTCCAGGCTCTGCCCTTTCTGGCTGACTGGGCCGCCTTTTGGGAGTGGGCACCCTCCCCAGCTCTTAGAGGCCCTGCCAAGGCAGATGATGTGAGAAATTTGCCCATTTTCCCAGACCCTACAGCTGGGTAAAAACTTAAGAGCCTCTGGAACCCCACAGCCTCCCATTGGTTGGTGGGCCTCTGGTATACTACTCTGCGTGTCTTTCTGGGCATGGAGAATCCCCAAAAGCACCTGGACCTTCTCTGGCACTTCATCTGAGGAACTCCCTTTGCGTGGAGCCTGTTGAAGAGCCCTCATCCTACATCAGGGTCCTGTCACATGCCCCTCTGAGCATCTGATGAAAGCTGTGGACCCTTCCCCCAGGGAAGTATAAGTAACAATGCATGTGCACGTGCATGTATTGTGTGTGTATGCTGTGTTTGCACTGGTACCAGGAACCTGTTGCCCCCTGATTGGACTCCTTCAAGTCCTGGTTGCCCTGTACATGCCCACTGTACCAGTCCTGAGGGGCAACTTGTTTTTGGGTTGGGGGGCGGTGCACTGGGCTTGTTCCACCCTGCTTCCTCTACTTCTCCTGTACTGGCCACTGGACATGTCCTCTCCCTCTGCCTTTTGTGGTCCTGCCAATGATCAGATTCCAGCCCTTCCAGCTCTAGGAAGCTGCCCCCTGAGTTCTTGTACATTCAGCCACCTGCTTGGGGGCTCAGGGTAGTGCAGGTGGGAAGTAAGGGACATCAGGTCAGGAGTTTAGATACACTCCCAGATACTGACCTCTCACCATGGACTGGGATCTGGGGGATCAGGGGCGGAGGCAGGTCTGGATAGTACTTTTGAGGGTGATTCTAGATATATAGCCCTGAGGCAGGGTCCTGGGTGCATAGGCCTTATTCTAGGACAGGTTTTCTCAACCTTGGCATTGTTGACATTTTGGACATGATCATTCTTTGGTGTGTGTGTGTTTGGGGGAGAGGTGGTAGTGGGGGAGCTGTCTTGTGCATCGTAGGTTGTTTAACAACATTCCTGGCCTCTACCCACTAATTCCAGTAGCAGCTTTCTAATCATGATAACCAAAAATGTTTCCAGACCTTGCTAAATATCTCTGATGGAGGGGAGAGCAAAATCATCTCAGGTTGAGAATGACTGATCTAGAATGATCTCATGCCTTTAAAGAGGCAGACAGTTATGGCAGATGGGGGTAATGGCTAATGAGCACACATCCATCTCCCTCCCCTCTTGGACTTGGGGTCTGTGGTTGGATTCTCCCCAAAGCCTAGGAGATTCCTGTTTTGCTGAATCTACTCAGCGTGTGAGAGTTTGGTTCAAAATTAGTAGTTTGGGTGTACTGCTTGCCACTGAGGAGAATCCTGGCGTCCTTGAGTTTTCCCAGAAGTGGTTCGGGTTTCAGGGAGGCGGCAGTTGTGGGTGGCCGGGCAGCCTGCCTGCCTGTACCCGCCCACCTGCCTCTGACCGGCGCCTTAAGGCTGGCACTTGTGCCTGTCCC